ATATTAGTGCACGCCAACCACAGCCGCACTTTTTTTTTCACGACTCTGAACAAATATTCTAATGACCAACCCGCTTTTTATTTTACACCGCAGTCTAATTTCCCCGACTATTTCAAGATGAAAGAAAATATATTACGCATCAATCGCGTGTCAGTTTTTTTCTTTTTTTTAAAGAATCTCATTTAGTGCAGTTGTATGGAGTTTTACTTCATGTTTCTCCCTAAAAAAAAACCCAGGGAAAACTAATTTTCGGTGGGTGGGTCTGACAATTTTAAATAATTTTATGTCATCGGCATCGAATCTGTATGCCAAGGTTCACCTCGATAGGTTAGCGGGAAGTGTGTCAATTAGCCGTCCGAGGATTTTTGCCAACCACCCGTGAGCAAAAGCGAAACTAAAATAAAAGATTTAAAAAGCTTTTCTTGCAAAAAAAAAAAAAAAAAAAAAAAAAAAAAAAAATCCTCGATAAATAAGCAGAAAGTGTGTCAATTAGCCGTCCGAGGATTTTTGCCAACCACCCGTGAGCAAAAGCGAAACTAAAATAAAAGATTTAAAAAGCTTTTCTTGCAAAAAAAAAAAAAAAAAAAAAAAAAAAAAAAAAAGTTTTCGTATCCATGCACCAACGTACAGGTGAGAAAACGTGATGATTTTTTTATATTTTTTTGGTTATTAAGAAATTAAAAGGCAAATATCTTTTTTTTTCTCGTACTCATTTCAGCTCTAACCCCACTCTGCTTCCCATTTTTCCCAAATCCAATTATCTCCACTTGCAGTTGCCAACAAATGGATCTGGACCCCAGGGTCTCTACACCGGAGATGTGGGCTGTCTGTGAATGCCACCAACCTTGAGGTGGAAGGAGAGATGAAAAGAGGCTACAGGTGAAAGACCTGTGTTCACAGTTCATTGGGCCGGTTTAAGATTCATCTATCTTGACATTGTCCAGATGTTAACGAAACAATCAGGACATGATGAGATTCACCTTGTGATGAAATAAAGCATTGGTTTCATTTGATTTTATTTGTGTTCTGTTGTTATTCTTTCTGGTTTTTTTATATTTTTGCTGTCGTTGTTGATGTTGCCAAATGTGGCTGTTGTTAGTTCTGCAATTATTATTGTTGCTGTTGTTACTGTTTTTTTTTTATTGTTGCTGTTGTTAATGTTGCTGTTGTCGGTGTTGATGTTGTTAGTGTTGCTGCTGTTGGTGTTGCTGTCGTTAGTGTTGCTGTTGTTGGTGTTGCTGATGTCATTGTTGCTGTTGTCGGTGTTGATGTTGTTAGTGTTGCTGTTGTCGGTGTTGATGTTGTTAGTGTTTTTGCTGTCGGTGTTGATGTTGTTAGTGTTGCTGTTGTTGGTGTTGCTGTCGTTAGTGTTGCGGCTGTTCCTTGTCACATCCCAAGTTGATATTTTTATACTATTCTTAACACTTTTATTCCATACTGATTTTCACCCGCGATACTGTATACGCTTATACCTGGCAGCGTACCCTGAACACACATCATCTGTCTAAAACAACACCCTTCCGTAGCAAGGACTTAGCCTTCTTCTTGCAAGGTATACGTTCTTCTTTGTCCCATGACCCAATAGAATCAGTCATCTCTACGGCTACGGAGTGCATGTTTCAATGACTCATTTACAAATTAAAACAAATGCACTCTCGGTAAACGACTTTGTCCTGTATTCTAACAAGCATGTCGTGAAAACGACTTTGTCCTGTATTCTAACAAGCATGTCGTGAAAAGTGAAGACATTTATATTACAGCCCAATTGTCTAAATATGGTAACACTAGAAATGGCACACCCAAACAATGGCGGTGGCAATGCGAGAACTTCACACCTGCTAAAGCTACTTGACAAACATGCATTCAAGTGACGCACTTGATTAGGATCCAAATTACTGCTGTCTTCTGGGAATTTCATTTTCGCGCGGCTAGTGAACACAACTTTACATCCATAAAGAGTATCAGAAAATTTGTAAGTTGCGCTATTTAAAAAAAAAAAGAAAATATGTTTGAGTATTCTCTTTTAAAACACAGTAAGTTGAATTCAGTTACTCGCCGATCAACATCATTTCAATGAATCTTAGGGAAATCAAAGATCAAATGAACCTGACAGGGCAGTGATAACACTAAAGTGTGCATTGTATTGATTGTGATAACACTAAAGTTTGCATTGTGTTGATTGTGATAACACTATAGTGTGCATTGTATTGATTGTGATAACACTAAAGTGTGCTTTGTATTGATTGTGATAACACTAAAGTGTGCATTGTATTGATTGTGATAACACTAAAGTTTGCATTGTGTTGATTGTGATAACACTATAGTGTGCATTGTACTGATTGTGATAACACTAAAGTGTATTGTATTGATTGTGATAACACTAAAGTGTGCTTTGTATTGATTGTGATACCACTAAAGTGTGTATTGTATTGATTGTGATAACACTAAATTGTGCTTTGTATTGATTGTGATACCACTAAAGTGTGCATTGTATTGATTGTGATAACACTAAAGTGTGCTTTGTATTGATTGTGATAACACTATAGTGTGCATTGTATTGATTGTGATAACACTAAAGTTTGCATTGTGTTGATTGTGATAGCACTATAGTGTGCATTGTGTTGATTGTGATAACACTATAGTGTGCATTGTGTTGATTGTGATAACACTAAAGTGTGCATTGTGTTGATTGTGATAACGCTAAAGTTTGCATTGTATTGATTGTGATAACGCTAAAGTGTGCATTGTGTTGATTGTGATAAAACAAAAGTTTTCATTGTAATGACTGTGATAACGATAAAGTGTGCATTGTAACTCTTGTGAAGGCCAAATATATTATTATTATTATTAGTAGTAGTAGTAGAAGTTTTATAGTGCGCGGTACGTCAGCCTAAGGCTGGGCCCACCCACGCTGTACATACACTTTTACAAACATAAATTTGAACTTAAAAACTAACATACATTGATGAAATGAAACAAAAGAAACTTATATTCACTCCACCCATTCTAAAACTATTCACATGTCAAGCCATAGATGGCGCCCAGCAGCATCGTTTATCGGTCAGAGGGGGGAAATCCTTCAGGATAGTAGAGTTCAAGAGATGTTGTTGTTTTTTGTGTGCAATGTTTAAGGCTGTGATGGTCGCTTATTTGCGGATGTGTAGTGGAAGGGAATTTCATTGTTTGGGGGCACAGAAAGATAAAGATCGTTCACCGTATGTTTTTGTGCGAGTCTTGGGTACAGAAAGAATACGCGTGTGTGTGAAGGAGTGAAGCTGTCTAAGGGGTGAATAGACAGAGAGAAGTTCTTCTTCATCTATATATTAAGGGCCCACTATCAATTTATTGATCATTTTGGCTCATATCTTGTTATTTGCAATGTTTCTGTGCCAGATGTTGATGAGAACATTTCACTGATTTCCAGTGCCACTTTGTGTGGGAATCATGCACTGGGGGGTTTGAAGGCTTGAGGCAATAGACGCAAATGTGTCTAGTGTTGTCGCCTCAAATGTTCCTTTTGAAGGCTTGTTCCAGTCCCTGATTGTCTTGGGCAGGAATGAGCAGCTCCTATACTGGCTTCTTGCTGATATGAGCCTGAATTGCCTGTCATGGCCTCGTCGCTGTCTATGGCAGAGAGGGACGAGTTTCTGTTTAATACTGAAACAGTGGACCAGCCCATTATTTATCTTGTACATCATGGAGAGCCTGGATTGTCGTCGTCGTTTCTCCAATGGTGACCAGCCTAGTGTTTCCAGCATGCTGCCAACACTAGAGGTATTCCTGTAGCGGTTTAGGACAAAGCATTCTGCCCGTCGCTGGACCGCCTCCAGCCTGCCAATGCTTTTCTGAGTAAATGGGTCACATCTCTTCGCCAGCTCGCAACACTAACAGTCTTACCTTGGTTGCCTTAGTCCCGCCTTAGGCCAGCGGTTCTTAAAGCTGTGGGTCGCGATCCCTTTTGGGGTTGAGCGACCCTTTGACAGGGGTCGCCTAAGACCATCGGAAAACACATATTTATGAAGAGCAACGTAAATAATTTTGTGGTTGAGAGTCGCCACAATTTTAGGAACTGTATTGAAGGGTCGTATCATTAGCAAGGTTGAGAACCACTGCCTAAGACTGACCTCCATTTTGCTCCACTCTCGCCTTAGTCTCGCCTAAATCTTTACTGAGATTCACATTGACAACGTTCATCCTAAAAAAAATTAGATCATGACACATTCATCATAGACACACCATAGATCATGCCACATTCATCATAGACACGCCATAGATCATGACACATTCATCATAGACACGCCATAGATCATGACACATTCATCATAGACACGCCATAGATCATGACACATTCATCATAGACACGCCATAGATCATGACACATTCATCATAGACACGCCATAGATCATGACACATTCATCATAGACACGCCATAGATCATGACACATTCATCATAGACACGCCATAGATCATGACACATTCATCATAGACACGCCATAGATCATGACACATTCATCATAGACACGCCATAGATCATGACACATTCATCATAGACACGCCATAGATCATGACACATTCATCATAGACACG